TGGCGAGGGGGGGTGTTAGCGTCAAATCCGTGCTTCCACGCATTTGAACACTCCCACTGCTTTCGCACACACTCAGCATCGGTCGCTATGGGTCTTCCTATTGGTATTCCATAGCTACGACGACCTCACACATTGACACCTACTTTTGGACCCCCTGGGCTTGATCCTCCTCGTGGCAGTCACATGAGTAAACACCGCGTGTGACGCGGTCCCCACGATGCCTGGGCAGCTGCCCTGGGGCAATAAGCTTGTGGCTACTGTTGTTTCCCTTTGTTGTGACACCTGCGGTCGGGCACGAGTTGCACTTTCCCTATCCTCGGGATTGAGCGACTCTACAGCTATTCTAACGGTGCACCTGGTCTGGTCACTGTGAATGCTTGCCGACCGCAGGTACGTCAAGCCCTCTGCCATTCTGTCTTCCCCTTGCTCTCCTGTGTGCTCTGCTCTCTTGTGACTTTCCCTATCCTCGGGATTGAGCGACTCTACAGCTATTCTAACGGTGCACCTGGTCTGGTCACTGTGAATGCTTGCCGACCGCAGCTGGTTCAATTGACCTCAAGACACCACCAAAGCTTTCGCTCCGCTCCGACGGACGTCTCTCAAACCTCTCTCAAAACGCTTCCTCAAACCTACGCGCTTCCTCGCAACCCAAAGACGGCCTCCAGACGTGCTGGAGCCCGACAAATACAGCAAAAATTAAAGCAAAATTAAAACAAAAATACAAGTCAAGCCATGAAAAGACACAACGAAGAACCACCAAGGGAGCGACAGGTGCACACAGGGATCCCCACAGAGGGACCCCCGAGGCGGTGCCTACCTACGACGAGTGCAGGCAGACACCGCCAAAGTGGCGCTGGATGTGGTCAGCGTTCATCTGATGGACCAGCGCCGCAAAGCGACCCTTCCATCGAGGAACAAAGGCCTCATCCAGCCCCGGCTGGTACACACCACGGGCCTCGGCGCAGCGGGCGAGCTGACCAAGCAGATCCACAAAGGAGGAGGCGAACCCACCGGTTGTCGTCATTGCCGCAGGGACGATCAGAGTTTTTCCATGGTTGAAACCGGTGTAGTAGTCGCGCTTCTCCTTTTCGGCTCGGCGAAGGGCAGCGCCCACCTTGATGCAGGCTTGCGAGGTGGTCGGGGGTTGGGCTGTGCGCACAGTCACGTCAATGCCCAGGTCGGGCAGAGCTGGGCCCAGAGCACCGCCATGCGGCAGCTCTGACCGTTGGCGTTGTAGCCAGACTTTTCCACCCAGACATGGGAGAGGGTGGCGTACCTGAGCAGGCGGCCCATCTCGTCGCGAAGGGCGTTGTGTCGCTTGATGGGACGGCAGGTCAGCAGGTGCTCGCGGGTCAGTCGCGGCTGAGGTGTCTTGCTTGTCCGTCGGCTTGACGTTGATGAGTTCATGGAGGCCAAAACCCATCAGTGTAATCGTCCATTCTCTGTCTCCACTGCGTGTGTTTCCACCTGCTTCAAGTGTAAGCGATCTCCCTGAATCGGTACCATGAGGACAGGTGGAAGTGATATCAGCAATCTGATTGGACCAATAGATGGTACAGCAAGATGGTACACAACAAGCTGGGGCAACATCAAGTACCAGAGCTCACACAACGTGGCAAAGCATAAAGTCTCAGATTGTGCCTCGAATACAAAAACTGCTAAAACCACAACAAAAATACTGCAAAAATTGCAAAAGACGACGAGAACCACCTACACGAATTTGACGCTCCCATTTGGCCACAAGGTGTTCGGGTCAAATCCGTGCTTCCACGCATTTGAATGCTTTCGCACACACTCAATGCCATTCACTATGAGTTCTCCCACTGGAACCCCATAGCTGCTACGACTCCACTTCCCGATTTACATACACACCTACACCCAGACCTGATGGGTCGGACCTCTGTCATGGGAAGTACCTTAGTGAACCCCGCATGTCGCGCGTACTTTGAATCCTTGGGCAGCTAGCTACCTTGGGGCGATAGGCCGTTGACTACCGTTGTTTCTCTTTGTTGTGACACCTGCGGTCGGGAACGAGTTGCACTTTCCCTATCCTCGGGATTGAGCGACTCTACAATTATTATAACGGTGCACCTGGTCTGGTCACTGTGAATACTTGCCGACCGCAGCTGATTCAATCGACCACAAAACCGCAGGGTTTTTTAAGACACCATCAAAGTTTTCGCTCCGTCCCGACGGACGTCTCTCAAACCTCTCTCAAAACGCTTCCTCAAACCCACGTGCCTTCTCGCGACCTAACACCGGCCTCCACACGTCGTGGAGCCTGACACAAGGTCTTTCAGGCCGGCTTGGAGTGGCACAATAGTTTCAGCTAGTCGCTGACTCGCCAAATATCTAACCTTCACCACCTGAAAGCCAGCCCGCTTAAACACGGGTTTCTAAATCAGCACATCGCAGTGCATCCTCGGCCCAAGGGTAGATCTTGACCAGCTTAAGCATGGTCAAAAACGCTGTGCCTCACTGTCAGTCGAGCATCATGTTTTTGGGTTAACTCATCAGCGCGGAGCCTGTCAGAAGTATTCGATAGTAAGGGCTGCTAGTTCGATTGTTGGCAAGTATATGCTTGGTAGATTGTCTTTTACAGGGCTTATTTCTAACGACATGATCGCTTTGGCATTTCCATTCCAGCAAGAGTTGACAAACCGGATATGCCGTTGCTTGACCCGCGAAATAAAACAAAGCCAAACTGAAGACCAAAAATAGTTTCTCGGAAGGAGTTATTACCCTCGGTAGCTGCAAAGAAAGGTTGATCTTGGGTAGTGTGGCGAGCGCTGTCCCGCGGATGAATGTCAAGTGGCGTGTCAGCTACTGAGATTGCTTACCAATCGTCGTACTTTTGGCCAACGGGTGGTTCGAAGACCGCACTGGCGAAGCGGGTACGGCTGTCGATGGCCAAGTCTGCATCGACAGACCAGGCGGCACCGTCAAAGGTCTCGACAGTTGTGTGGGCTCGATCGCTTTCACTGCCTTCACCGCCGATGACGGAAATAGTTGAGCGAAAAATGTTGGCACTCATATAGGCTCGGCCTTGATGCATGGCCGCCACGACGGACCAAGTTTCACCATTGAAGCTTTCAACTGTGTTTAGATATTCACCCGAGTCATCTTGGCCACCAATGACGTAAAGTATATCGTCAAAGACGATGGCCGCACATGCCATGCGAGCAGAGAGGAGATTGCCATAGAGGATCCAAGTGTTGGTGTCCGTGTCCAAGACTTCGATTGAGCTGAGAACTCCTGTAGAAGTTTGACCACCCATAACAAATAGACGGTCTCGGTAGACTGCAGCGCAAGGCGCAAAACGAAAGAAGACAGAGTTGGCGCCTTGGGTCCAGACGCCATCGATCAAAACCTCATTTTTGGGGTTATTGGCGTTGGACGAGGCCATTCCAATAACGTGGACCTGGTTGTGGTAGACCACGGCGGCAAAAGAATAATGATAAGTTTGCAACTCTGGGCCTGCGGACCAATCGACCCCATCAAAGTAGTAAGTGGTATTGACTGGCCCAGGTCCCACGCGGCCACCGATGACCATCAAAGTGTTATTGAAAACCACACTTTTGTGCTCGTAGGTGGGGAAGGGCATTGCGGGGCCGGCCGTCCAGGCTTCGCCATCATAGATGGCGACAGAGTCGAGAACACCACTATTAATGCCTCGGGCGCCACCGATGATATAGAGACGCTTGGGAAAGACTGCTTTGAGCAGATCGCCCACGCGTGTTTCAAGCTCGTTCTTTTGGACTGTAAGCGTGCGGACCGACGCTTCCAGTCCCAGAGAGGTATTGACAAGGGACTCGACCAGCTCCTTCATGGCAGCTTGCTCGGCTGCAAGGGCTCTGTTGGCCTCGAGCAGGCTGGCAACTTGCGTCTGGAGGGCGACAAGGGTGGCATCACCAACGGTGATTGGAGCAGCGCCATTCACGAGGACTTGGCCCGTGAGGGCGGAAGCGTTGAGATGCAGGTTGCCCTGACTGTCTGTGGTGACAGTTGGCCATGTTCCCGAGGGCGACGTGGCTGGAGAGGTGCCGTGTGTGGACGGGGAGCGCAGGAGCAGCAAAAGTAAAAGAAACACGGCTCCCGCCATGGCAGGTGCTCGGCGGGTTCAGGGAGTAGTGGTGATATGAATATGCGTACAAACCGGGTTGGAGAAAAAGGAGGGGGGGGGGGGGAGCAAAGCGTTGAGTCAGATTTCTCAGGTCGAAGAAACCTCCAGGAGTGACGGAAATGCGACAATCGCACGAGGCTCTGTCTGACAGATGCAGCCTCGATCCAGCTGTTGCCGAATCACATTCAGCGCCAAAATGAAACGATCCACTGAGAAGTGAGAAAGAGAGAGAGAGAGAGAGAGAGAGAGAGAGAGAGAGAGAGAGAGAGAGAGAGAGAGAGAGAGAGAGAGACAGAGAGAGAGAGAGAGAGAGAGAGAGAGAGAGACAGAGAGAGAGAGACAGAGAGAGAGAGACAGAGAGAGAGAGAGAGAGAGAGAGAGAGAGAGAGAGAGAGAGAGAGAGAGAGAGAGAGAG